TAGCTGATTTTAGTTCCATGAATTTGACGGCACACACCGCTGACTGCATTCGAATGAATCAAAATGGCCGTCGCCACGTGTTTGGTTTTCTAATGGCGGCCACTTAGACTACTTCGGCACTTTGGCTGCATCCGAAGTGCCATGCCAAAACTGCAGGTCCTTTCCCAAAGTACTTAAAGGGCCATAAACAGCACAATAAAAATCCATTATGCCCAAATACAGTTCGTAAAGGGCCATACACAGTCCAATACAAGTCCATAAGCCCCAAATCAGTTCCTTAAAGGGTAATACATCCCAGGGACCATAGTCACATGGCAGGAGGCTGGCAATCAGTCTTCTTCAATGCCCAGTGGCGAGGTTGGTTTCGCCACAACATCTAATAAATGAGAAATTTTGCGTTTCATTCTGACAATCTTATCTTCAGGCAAGCGAAATTCCATTTGCTCAGAATCAATAATTATACCTAAAAATTGCAAACATGTGCCAGGCCAAACTGTCTTTTCTTTTGCCAAGGGAATGCCAAATTGTTGAACAATGGACATGAAAATATGTAGTAAATGAAAGCAATCTGAAGATTCAGCTTTCCCTATAAAAAAGAAAATCATTCAAATAATGAATAACTGAATGTAAACCCGAAACCTGTTTAAGGACCCATTTCAGAAAACTTGAAAAACTTTCAAAATAAAAACAAGAAGTAGAACAACCCATAGGCATACATACAAGTAAAATACATACAAGTAAAATCCTCCTTCGTATTGAAAACCCAATGAACCAAAACAGTCAGGGTGTAAAGGAAGTAACCTAAAAGCTGATTTAATGTCGACCTTTGACATAAGGGCATTCTGACCACATGTCCTTACCCATTGCAGCACATCATCAAAGGAAGTGTAAGATACAGAAATAATGGAGGTATCCACCTCATCATTCAATGATGTACCCTTTGGGTAAGAGGGGTGGTGAATTAGTCTATAGGTACCGTTTTCTTTCTTGGGAACTAAACCAAGCGGAGACACCCTAAAATAAGAAAAAAGCGGAACTGAAAACGGGCCTTCAACTCTCCCTAAAGCTATTTCTCTATCAAATTTATCTCTAACTATACTACTATTCAACTTAACTGAACTAAGATTTTCAACAAACTGAACAGACGAACTACAAACAGGAATTCTAAAAACAAATAAAAAACCTTCTTTAATCTGTCTGTTGGTTTGGATAGCATTTTAAATAAGGGAGCAGCCTTTGAACTTTCACTGGGGTTCATGGTTTTAGGAATCTGTGCCCTGGCGGTAGCACCCTGCCTCTTAAAGCACCAAAAGGACAGATGACTCCTAGCACAATTAAATCATTCATGTCTGAACCTGCAAGAATTCGGGCATTTACACTGTGACTCATTGAAAGACCAACAAACACCTCTCGGGCGTATTTGCAACCCACTCGCCTGAGTCTGCGGTCTCTATTGATTCTGAGGAATCCTGCTTATCCAAGAACCAACATCCTTCATACCCCATTTCAAATTCTTATGCACTGATAATTTCTGACTAAATATTTAGTCATAGTTAAACCAAGCCAAACTACCGAAATTTTTGAAAGCCTCTAATTTAGTGTCTAGATGATGAAAAAGACCGCTAGCTTTATCTTGATGACGTTCACAGTAAACACTAGCAAAAATGCAAAACGCCTGAAGCCAATTATTAAAGGAACGGGGTACAGGTCGCTTCCTGTCCTCATCTCTTTCTTGCCTTAACAAAAATTCCTTAGAGGCTGGCAATAAAGAAAGAATATCGATATATTCATCATTCCATATTTTTTCATGCAATTAGATAAATGAAAACCAAGGGGTGAAGCTTCGCACGCCAAAGCTTCCTTCAAACAAGACTCATTAACAGGCGTACTGCTCTTGTCAGACCTATTAACTAAACTAACAGCTGCAGGTGAATTTGAAAACTTTAAACTATCATGCAGCCAAGCCATAGCTGGACTACCAGCTTTACCTCGAATAGCCTGAAATAAAACCCCCAGGGCCTCTCCCAGCTTAGCTTCAGGAGAAATCCTTGAGCAGAACTCACCAGTCAAATTGTCCATTACCCCCGTAGTATGCGAGGTGCCAGCTTACTCACCGACTTCAATGACCAATACTTGCCCCATTTCAGCCACCTGACAAGATTTCTTCTTCCTTTCTCCTGCAGCTTTAGATTTCTTGCTCCCTCTAGTGGATGACGGGGAATAAATAACTCTTCATTTACAAATCATCTTCTTTCTTCCATTAAGTAAACTTCTGTCACATACAGACATTTGATGCTCCTCCTCAGAATCTTCCCCTTTAGCAGCTTCCTCCTCCTCAGGCTCTAAAATGTCCAATAAAGAATGCCATGGACGTGAATCCATTTGAGAGGAAGGGGCAATCAAAAGACACTGCATTAGCCATTCAGCACCTCCGCTGCTGAATGCCCTCCTCTTAACTTCCTCAATAAAATGCTCCATAGCTATTCACACATAAAATAAAAAGAACTTGCTGTAAAGAGAACGAAAGAAAAACAGCTCCACAGTTGATTATTTCTTCTTTTTTCTTGGCTCCAAATATCACATCAGGGCGCCTTATATAATGTTTGTTTCCTGCTCCAGAGCACCCTTGTGGACAAGCGCTCCAATCAGAGCACTGTCCACGTGGACCCCTGTATGGAAAGTTCACAAAAGCATTGCAACAGCCCTTGCTGAATGCCCTCGCGACTAAGGTTTTGCGCGCCGCAACTTGACCCCTGAATAACCCCACAACGCACATGCATACCTAGTCGATTGACTAGGTACATTCTATTTCTCCGTTCTCTAATATTCACTCACCTCAGGTGGGTATCTTCTAATATCTGAAAGGTCTGGCTTTTCTACATATTATTTTTTTTTAATTCACTCTCATTAGCGTTTTTTACAGTTCATTTGCAGTTCTTTTACCCACTTCAATTAAGCCTGCCCTATAACTATATAATTGTCATATCTTCACAAGTGAATATTTAAAAAAACAAAAAAACTTTCATGCCTGTATTAGATTTTATACTATTCCTTAAAATCATCAACTCATAATATTTTTCTCTCAGTGTTTTATAATTATTCCTCTATAATATTAGTAATTTTTAGGTTCATTCATTTATTAATTAATTCTCTTTGGATGGTCCATGTGTATGGGCAATGTTTTGCCATATATGCATTTTGTTTTACAGCTTAGTTCATTATTTCCACTTAACCCCTTAAGGACCAAACATCTGGAAAAAAAGGGAATCATGACATGTCACACATGTCATGTGTCCTTAAGGGGTTAAACCTTTTTGAGATGTTTTTCTCTTGATTTGCACTCCTTGTGTGTGTCTCTCTTTTTTCTTATTTTGTTCTTTGTGTTTTTTCCATTTTTCAAATTTTTTCTTTGTATGGACATATAAATATATGAAACAAGCGGTTTTGTGATAAGAATTATGGACCTTGTAGTTCGGAATGCCGAATACATTCGTATCACGAAAGTGACGTATTGGGATGATTTCTGGCACGTCATATCCATGCTCGATAGAACCTTTCTACCAAAGAAATGCAGAGGAGGATGAAGTTAAGGGAAAAACAAGTAAGCACAGGAAAGCAAAAGTATACACCCCCCCTTGGTATTTTTTGTGTTTTGTTGCCTCACAACCTGGAATTAACATGGATTGTTTGAGGATTTGCATAATTAAATTTACAGAACATGCTCACAACTTTGAAGATTTTTTTTTAATTTTTTTGAAGCAAACAACAAATAGGACAAAATAACAGAAAAGGTCAATGTGCATAACCATTCAACCCCCTAAAGTCAATACTTTGTAGAGCCACCTTTTGCAGCAATCACAGCTCCAAGTAGCTTTGGATAAGTCTCTATGAGCTTGCCACATCTTACCACTGGGATTTTTGCCCATTCCTCCTTGCAAAACTGCTCCAGTTCCTTCAAGTTGGATGGTTTGCGCTTGTGAACAGCAATCTTTAAGTCTGACCACAGATTTTCTATTGGATTGACGTCTGGGCTTTGACTAGGCCATTCCAACACATTTACATGTTTCCCCTTGAACCACTCAAGTGTTGCTTTAGCAGTGTGTTTGGGGTCATTGTCCTGCCAGAAGGTGAACCTCCGTCCTAGCCTCAAATCGTGCACAGAGTGGTACAGGTTTTGCTCAAGAATATCCCTGTATTTAGCACCATCCATCTTTCCCTCAACTCTGACCAGTTTTCCAGTCCCGGCTGCTGAAAAACATCCCCACAGCATGATTCTGCCACCACCATGTTTCACTGTGGGGATGGTGTTCTTTGGGTGATGTGATGTGTTGGGTTTGCGCCAGATATAGCATTTTCTTTGATGGCCGAAAAGTTCAATTTTAGTCTCATCAGACCAGAGCACCTTCCTCCATACATTTTGGGAGTCTCCCACATGCCTTTTCGCAAACTCAAAATGTGCCATTTTGTTTTTTGCTAAAAGTAGTGGCTTTCTTTTGGCCACTCTGCTATAAAGCCCAACTCTATGGAGCATACGGCTTATTGTCGTCCTATGTACAGATACTCCAGTCACCTAAACATTGCGGTATCTGTTTTATATATATATTTGTAGTCGGGGACCAAAGCCGTATCTATAATAAGTTAGATATATGAGCAAGTCGGTTGTGGTGTGCCGAAACCGACGTATTGGGTAGGCCTGTGATAAAAGAGGGCCCACCTGTAATAGTAATAGTAATATGTATAATGGGAGAGGTGGGAGGGATGAACCCGGCAGCATCAGCCCTGTGATGTAGGGGGCCTGAGTTTAAATAGCTGGGTAACCCCTCCCACAAATTTGTAGTTGGGGACCAAAGCCGTATCTATGATAAGTTAGATATATGAGTGTGCCGAAACCGATGTATCGGGTAGGCCTGTAATAAAAGAGGACAAAAATTTAATAAAATAACCTTATTACATATCTCTACGTATCAAGATTCATAAAAGCTGGTCTACTCAAGTCTAGCTCTGGTTGTGGTATGTATCTAGTAATACACTGTGGATTTCCAGCATCCTAATGTTTATGATGTGAGCAGGGACATTTGTCTAGAAGCAGCTGATGCTGCCCTGATTCTGAACGAATGTCCCGAAAAGGCATTGTGGTTGAGTCCCCACCTAGCTTAGAGTGTTCTGAGATACATTATGAATTTAGCTGTAGTGAGTGGTTTGCCCAGCAGTGTAAATAGGGGCATATTGAGGTTTAGTCCAGTGAGGGATAACCTGTAAAGGTCTGGCATTTTGACCGGGCACCTTATTGTCCGTAGGATAGTACCTTATCTCCGTACGTTCGTCACATGGTAAGAGGATGTGAACTGCTTGGTACTGGTATAGGCACTTAAGATATGGTGTTGTATTACAGTCAGGTAACGTTTTGTAGTGTTCAGAGAGAGTGTTAAATTGAGGGGGCAAAAAGGAGAGGAGTGTCACGATGGCGTCTAGTGAAAGAATATCGATATTATGGTAATCAGTGATAAACTTGTTGTAAAGGTGAAATCTCTATTGTATACTCGTGATGTAAAAAGTGAATCTGGTATAGCTAATGTAACACACAGGGGAGAGGGAGTAGGACTAAAACTAGTTAGCTGCAAACTGGAACAATAGGGATTCACTAAAACCTATATGTCAGAAATAGAAAAAACACTCAGAAAAAAAGTGTAAATAATCCAGGAGCTGGCTAGTGTGGCACAAGATGGAGGTAGAAAGTGGAATAGATACAGTTAGGGTGCTATTCAAAATAGATACTGGGCCTTTAAGGGGTGTGAATGACTAAACGTGTAAATCTGTACTGTGTCTTTAAAAATAATAAAATGATTTATGAATCAATATTGAGAATAAAGTTGCTGAAACAGAGACAGAGTGAAAATTAAAAATAGTAGTGGTAGTAAAAATAAGATTTTAAAATAATCAACCAGAATGTAGCAAATAATTGGAAGGTGCAGTTACAAACTGTCCCTGGATAGATACAGGGTAACAGATAGTTGATAGTTGCACCGGAATGCTATACTTTGTACTAAACAAATATATAAATGATAATATGGCACTACAGTATATAGAACTGTGTGCTATAGCAATGAATAACATTGAGGAGTATAGGCAATGGTAGAAAACTGGGTTAAATAATAAAAAACAGTTTATTAATAAATGAATAAATGAATAAAAATGCAAAAATTTAAATTTCATCAAAGATACAGGTCAGTCCATAGTTAGATATAGGTTACTAGTGAAGTTCCAAAAAAGTTCAAAGACCCTCGGATTGAGCCAGGATGGTAATGGATTGAGCTGGCAGTTGGTATTCTGGAATCCGGCTGCTGGTTGAGGACGGTGTGCAGATCGGTATGCACGTCCCAGCACGGACCTCACTCGGGGGAAGTACACAACTGACGGTCTCGGTTCACAGGTTAACCAAAGGTCCTGAACAAATAGGTGCTTCTGCTGCTGGTTGCTGACAGGATCTGAATGTTGATTGAACGTTCTTTGATGAAATTTAAATTTTTGCATTTTTATTCATTTATTAATAAACTGTTTTTTATTATTTAACCCAGTTTTTTCTACCAGCAGTGGAAAAAAGGTGAGTAAAATAAACTTTTTAAATGCAGACAAGGGGGGTCGAGCACCTAAATGGTGTTTTTGAAAGTATAGTGTCAAGAATATTGGTTTATATTACTGACACTATAGTGTTCCTTTAATGTTTTAATTTTATATATTTACACCTGAATAGGTCACCAAACAATGTCATGTTCATAATCTTGAACCGAGAGAAAAAAGTTTACAAACCACACTGCTCTATATCTTCTATTTCAGTTCATGATCCTATATTATATTAAAACATTTTCAATTATACTAAACAAAACAAAAAACAAAACAAACCCTGTTCAACTGAACTGAATGCTGTGTGAAAATTATATCTTTTATGTCATTTTTATTACTTCTATGATATGTTTTTCTAATCTCCTCAGGTCTGTTCATCACCAGTTTAGGTCTAAGGAGTATTTACAATTTGGCATGCCCTTCAACCCTATGAGTAGGCATTGGTTTTAAAGTTTTTAATATTCTGCTAATTTATGTTTTTTATTTCTGTATTATTTCAATGTTCTTTGCACCAGGGCCGTTTGAAGGAAATCGGGGTCCCTAAAGCACAGTGGAAATGGAGGCATGGAGACCTCCCTTCCCCCCCCACCTCGCACGCACGCACGCACGCACGCACGCAAAGCCTACTGGAACCACAGCATAGCCACACAGTTTAAGTTCACCCACATTTTATATAAATAAAAAAGGTTTACAGTGCAAATACTGCTGTTGCATATAATGTGCATAAAATTTGAACATTTTCAACAATTGAACATTTGCAAAAAACACCACTGTACCATAAAATCAAATATACATTAAAAAGTGCACAATAACTAAATCCAACATACTTAAAACACACACAGACACACACTTTAACATTTTCCAGCAGGGCCGGACTGGGGATACAAAGCAGCCCTGGAAAAAATAAGAAATAATTTACTGCGCCTAATACACTGCTGACCCCCTCCCCCTATCTAATACACTGCTGAACCCCCTATCTAATATACTGCTGACCCTCTCCCACTATCTAATACACTGCTGAACCCCTATCTAATATACTGCTGACCCCCCTACCTAATACACTGCTGACCCCCCTATCTAATATACTGCTGACCCCCTCCCCCTATCTAATACACAGCTGAACCCCTATCTAATATACTGCTGACCCCCCCTATCTTATACACTGCTGATCCCCCCATCTAATATACTGCTGACCCCACCTACCTAATACACTGCTGACCCCCTCACTTAATACACTGCTGCCCCCCCTATCTAATACACTGCTGGGCCCACCTCCCTATCTAATACACTGCTGGGCCGCCCTCCCCCTATCTAATACACTGCTGGTCCCCCCTCCCCTATCTAATACACTGCTGGGCCCCCCTCCATATCTAATACACTGCTGGGCCCTCTCCCCCTATCTAATACATTGCTGACCTCCTCTCCCCCTATCTAATACATTGCTGACCCTCTCTCCCCCTATCTAATACACTACTGGGCCCCCTCCCCACTATCTAATACACTAGTGGGCCCCCTCCCCACTATCTAATACACTACCGGCCCCACTCCCCACTATCTATTACACTACTGGCCCCCCTCCCCACTATCTAATACACTACTGGGCCCCACTCCCCACTATCTAATACACTACTGGCCCGCCTCCCCACTATCTAATACACTACTGGCCCCTCTCCCCACTATCTAATACACTACTGGACCCCCTCCCCACTATCTAATACACTACTGGGCCCCCTCCCCACTATCTAATACACTAGTGGGCCCCACTCCCCACTATCTAATACACTAGTGGGCCCCACTCCCCACTATCTAATACACTACTGGCCCCCATTGCCTCATTGCGTTCGCTCGGCTCTTCTGATCACGAGCCGCAGACGCATCGGTGGGCCACAGAAGTACGACGTAACAGGAAAAATATATTTTCTCATCTTGTGGCTGAGTGCAGCCACATCTTAAAGTGGCCCCAGGGCCGGCAGCCTACCGGGAAATTTCCCGGTATCCCGGTAGGCCAGTCCGGCCCTGCCTCCATGTGTCCTTCTTACTCCCCTCCCTGTGTCCTTCTTACTCCCCTCCCCCCTGTCCTTCTTACTCCCCTCCCTGTGTCCTTCTTACTCCCATCACTGTGTCCTTCTTACTCCCCTCCCCCTCCCTGTGTCCTTCCTACTCCCCTCCCTATGTCCTTCTTACTCCCCCTCCCTATGTCCTTTTTACTCCTCCCCTGTGTCCTTCTTACCCCCCTCGCCCTTCTTACTCCCCCCTCCCTGTGTCCTTCTTACTCCCCCCTCACTGTGTCCTTCTTACTCCCCTCCCCCTCCCTTTGTCCTTCTTACTCCCCCGTGTCCTTCTTACTCCTCCTACCTGTGTCCTTCTTACTCCCCTCCCCACGTTCTTTTTACTTCCCCCATGTTTTTTTACTCCACCCTCCCCATGTTTTTTTTTACTCCCCCTTCCCCCCCCCTATGTTCTTCTCACCTCCCCTTCCCTGTAGAGTCGCCGAGCTTCTCTTCCTCCTGGCTGTCAGTCCGGCCGGGTACCGCGCGGTAACAGGAGATTCAGTTTCCTGTTCCCGGCCGGACTGAAAGGAAGTGAGCACTCAGTGTGCTCTTCCTGTCAGTCTGGCCGGAAACAGGAAACTGAATCTCCTGTACTGCGCGGTACCCGGCCAGACTGACAGCCAGGAGGAAGAGAAGAGGAGCTCGGCCACGCTACAGCCAGAGAAGGGGAGGTGACGAGAGAGGAGTGCTGCAGCTGTCTGAGGCTCTCTATAGAGCGCACAGACGGCTGCAGCCTTATAGGCCCCAGGCCAGCTCGGGGCCCCAAGCAATTGCTTGGTTTGCCTGCCCGCTAGCAACGGGCCTGGATGGAAGCGACAGGATTTGGCGATTGACTGGACATGAGGGGTGAAGGAGAGATTGCAGTCAAAAAGAACACCCAGGCAGTGAGCCTGCTAGGTAGAGGTTATGGTAGCACTGTTCACTCGGAGGGAGACAGACACAGGAGTAGTAACAAAATAATAAACTTGCTTATTACACAAACATTTTAAAATTAGCAACTGTCACTGTTTATATGGGGAAAAAAGCAAATCTTTTATAACATGTAACCTAAGTTTGAAAAAATGGCTGCTTTTGTTGAGCTACTACTTTAAAGGGATACTAAAGTCATCAAAACAACTTAAACTTAGAGGTTGTTTTTTTTGTATAGGTCATGCCTCTAAAGTTTCACTGCTCACTTCACTGCCATTTAGGAGTTAAATCACTTTTGTTTCTGTTTGTGCAGTCCATGCCTCACTTCCCCTGGCTGTGACTGACACAGCCTGCATGAAAACAAAATGGTTTCATTTTCAATCAGATGTAACTTACTTAAAAAAGTTTTTATCTCCTCCTCTGTACATTGAACTTTAATCACATACAGAAGGCTGCTGCGGGTTCTAGCAAGCTATTAACTGAGCAGGAGATACATTTTAAATTAAACATAATTTGCAGTAAAGGAAGTGTAAACATTAGATGACTCTTTACTGGAAGCGTTTAGGAAGGCTGTGTAAGTCACATGCAGGGAGGTGTGATTAGGGCTGCATAAACAAAATGACTTAACTCCTAAATGGC